AAAAGGAGGAAAGAGTGTGCCAGTCAGAAGACAAAGCATTCCCAAAGGCCTAGAGGAGAGAAAAAGCACAGCAAACTGAAAGAAGTTCATTGAGGGCACTGGGTAGGTAGTGGCGTGTCAGAAAACAAGCCAACCAGGAAGGAAATCCTCTGCAGTTCAGGGGCTTCCTGGGGAGTAAACTTCCCCAAGGTCACCTCTCTCACCCTCTGTGTGCCCCTGCATTCACCAGGATGCAGGGGAAGTGGCCGCTCACAACTCAGTGAGCTCCATCTTCACAGCCTCTGTCATTCCTTGCTGCCGGTGGCCTTGAAAACAGCATTGCTGAGAATCTGCTTACCTGGGAGAGGATGCAATTTGGTGCCGGGGGAACTGGCCGGCTGGGAGGAGGCCTCCTGGATGACTCTTTCCTCTCTACTTGGGACCCGGCCCCTGGGGAGCTCCTAGCAGCCCTGCTGAGGTGCGTTGGCAATGGTGCAGGTGGGGATCCACCATGAAGATAGTCTGGAGGGGGCCGAGGAGGAGGTTGGGAGGGCTTCCGTGGAGTTTCAGGGGTGTTGGTCACCTGTATGCATAAGACAAGGAATGTCTGAGAAACAGGAGCCCTCAAGATACTGAAAAAACTCAAGGAAAGGTGTCCCTGTGTGTCTCACTGAGAAGACCAGAGACCAAAGGAAGGACATGCTGACCTGCCAAATCTCCAGGTTCCCAGAGGTCAGGTACAATCTTTAAAGTCATTAGGGGATGTCGGGACCAACTGAATCTCTCTCAAGCCAAGTTTGGCTTTTTTACCAATCCCACAGGCCCACAGAGCCTTAGGAAAATCCAGCAGGGTACTGAGGGATAAAGGAAAAGCGGCAAAATTCAATGGTACAGAGCCCTTACCTTTCGCTTGCCCTGGGGAGTCTGCAACTTAAACGTTGGGTTAGCATGGCCAGTTCCACTGTTCTGAGACACCCTGAAGGGACAACTGGTAACAAGGAATGGGGGAGAAAGAAAAGGGGAAATGCTCATCAAGGGTCACTGCCTGAGTTCCCTCTGGCTCAGAATGGTCCAGCAAGCAGCTAAATCTCCCCAAGTCTTCTCTGGAGAAGTGAAGACTCCCTACATATGGAGACACTGTGTGGCCAGTGGAGAACTCTCACGTAAAGAGTTGCCCCTTACAAAACAGAGTTTTCCTCATCACCTTCTCTTTACCCTTTTAAGAACTTGCTCCCTCAAGGAGACACAAGGATGTCACCAGCCATCAACCAATTCCTTTCAGGCATAGATCCAGAAAGACTTGGGATTTTAAATCCTTCCATGAAAAGTATAATTTAATAGGGGACTCAAAAACTACACATCCCCAGGATCCAAAGGAATGAATCACTGGGATTCATTTTTTGTCTTGAGTCTTTGTCTTGAGTCGATATCCAGCCACCCCCCCCCCTCCCCCCCACCGCCCGGGGCTGACTTAGGTTAGTCCACCTGTATTGCCTCAGTTTCCTGCCCTTTAAAATGGAAATCAAATCAATTACAAAAAAGATGGCAAACAGATTTCATTTTACATTTCAACTTGAATTGGTTAGGGGCAGTCTGATGAAAAGGATTCTGAAGTGACAACCAGTAGAGAATACTTAGAGTAAGATCAATTAGTAATGTTTGCCACATTGGTGAAGCAAGGCAGAAGGGAAGATGGCGGCATGTACTGCTCATTTGCCTTCCCTGATTTAGACCCACTATCACCAGTTGTTTTTACCCGGTTCTGCTTACAGAAAGCTTTATGGTCCATCAATGGACCCAAGTCCTTCATGGCACCCCATCATACCTGAACTGTTGCCTCAACTTGGAAGGGAGGGCTAGAGGCTTGAGCTGTCCCAGTTTGTTGTTCTGTTTACAGTAGTGGTACATCAGCATAAGGAATGCCAGCACAAATATGGCCGTGAACACTCCAGCTATCACAGGACCAGCACCTTCCAGAAAGAGAACCCGAATTAGAAATTTAGAAGCTATTTGGGCTGCAGCAGTGGAATTCAAACACTGTATTCCTGATTCTTCTTCAGATATTTTATTTGCACTTAATTTGTATTATTTATTTTAACTTAAGAAGTATAATAAGCACACACACATTATGTACCCCTAGGAAACTGCTAATATTAGCTTAAACAGCCAGGTCAACTTGCTTTGTGCAGACCTCATAGTGAAGCTTCTTCAGACACTTCTGTTTAATTTAAAAGTTCCTTTTGAGGCAAGGAGTTCAAGTTCTATTATTATTTACCACTAGCTTTTAGCCTGAATCATGGTTTTTCTGGACACAAAGCAACCAACCCCAAATGCTGAGAGGCTGAGACCAACCTAGGACTAAAAGTCTCATGGATAATCCACAATTTCATATTTGGTTTCATCAAAGCTGGCTCAATTGTCACAAATTACAAATTTAAATGTACAATGTGCATTTAAATGTACAATTTAAATGTACAGACACACGACTTTTGTCTGTTTTATAAACTAGAGTTTCTTCTCTAAGAGATTTTGTTCACACAAAAGTACTTTGGTATTAAAAAAAAAAAAAAAAAAAAAAAAAAAAAAGATTGGAAACAAAAGGGCTAGAATCTCTGTGGTTTACACTAAAAACTGTAGTACATTTTTCTGGTTGTCTGTTTCTGCATTTGAAGCTTGTTCAGCCAGGGAATCTGAACCATTATAATGTGCCTCAGGTTCATGATTGTTTTTATGTGGCTGAGAATGACAGGTTGTCACTCCACTATCCAAAACTAGATGAGATCATTCAATAACCTCTGATCTGTCTCAATCTCTCTTTCAACCAAGCAGTGTTGCCCTCCTCAGTAGAAATGATAGAGAAAGAGCAACTGACATGAGTCCCACAGCAGGCTGCCAGCCTCAGCCACTCTCCCACTTGGCCCTTCTTTTGTGTTCCTTCGTCTACAAAATCAGGATAATGGAGCTGACTTCATTCTTTCTCTACAACAGGCCACCCACCCAACCTCACAAAAATGGGCAGAGGCTCTGAGCAGGCCAGGCACTCACTCTCAGGGGGCATGGGCCCACTGTCGATGCTGCCCCCTTGGCCGGGGGTGTTGCAGAAGGGTGGGGCCCAGCCTCGGAAGCAGTGGCAGTTCTGGTTGTTGTTGCAAACCTGAAGCGAGGGAAGGGCACAGGTGTCAGCACCCTGGAGAGGTCCGGCCTCCCCCAGGGCCCGGCCCCCCCCCCCCCCGCCCCGCCCCAGTGGACATCAGTGCAGGGGAACCCCGGAATCCCCCGGGGGCACACGCACCCCATGGCCATTGCACTTCTTCCCACAGCCTTCCGTTTCAAAGAAGGAGGTGTTCCTGCACTGCCCCTCGAAGCAAATCTGTATTGAGGAGGAAACCAAACTGTCAGTGCCATAGAAGGGACACTGGTTAGCAATCAGGAGATGGGGGTTTTACACTTAGGACATATGGGGCTCGAAAATGCAACTCACTTCAGGTTATTTATTACACTGAAAAATTGAAAATGACCTAAAAACCAAGGACAGGATGATAGTTAACTAAATTCTGATATTAATTTTGTGATGAGGGAGAAAATAATAAACATTATATTATTAAGACATTATATTTAATATAACAAATAGATGTTATTACATTCTATATTAATATGTTGGTTATATGTTAATTACTTAAGTGTATATTAGTATGCATTAATTTTAATATTGTCCTTAAAAATAATGATGGTGACAGCAGTCTACTCTGTGCTATACCAAATAAATGCTTCACGTGTTTTTTCTAATTTCCTTCTCAGTTAACTGAGATAGGTGCCTTTATCTTCCCAAGGCTCCTGGACTAGAGTCTAGTCCATTTCTTAAGTCATATAATTCATGATGAGGACAAAAGTGATAACAGCTAGCCCTTCTAAGTGGTTTACAGGGATTATCTCATTTAATCCTTACAACAGTTCTCTGGGGTGGGTCATGCTATTACTGACATGTCTTATAATGGAAGCCATGGAGACACAGAGAGGCTGGGAAGCTGGGATTTGAGCCCAGGCACCTTTCCTCCAGAGCTCACATCTCTCAGTCACTCCCCTCTCCCTTGAGTGAGACTGGGACTCACATGGTTGTAGCCACACTTGGTCCCAGTCATCACCAGGCCCGGGTCCAGCATGTCCCCCTCCTCCTCAGGACCACGGTAGACATGGGTGCCCCGGCATCGGATCTGCCTCCCGTTCAAGATGATGGTGGTGTCGATGGGCACTGCATTGGACTCCAGGGGCCGGGCTTCAGAGCTCTGACACTGGATCTTCCCACACTTGGCATCTCTGAGCCCAAGAGAGAGGGGGAAGGAAGGAGGTAGAATCAGAGGAGGGGAAGAACTGGGGGACAGAAGAGCTTCAATCTTTCATTGCTCAGGAGAGCAGGCGTGGATAGGGGAGGGGCCGAGGAGCAATGAGTGTGCCCTAGGGACCCAGCAGGAGAGATCTCATGTGAACTTAGACTAAGGATAGAAAATTAGATCCTTGTCCCCAAGCAGATCTGTGCCAGAGAGCTGGCCTTGGGAAGTCCTCTTTACTGCAAGGACAACAGCCTTACCTGAGCAACCTGCCCCTTATGCTCCACCCACCCCCCTGCACCCAGGAGCTACAGCCAGAAGCCTGGTGTCATCCCCACTCCCCATTCTCCCTCACTCCTGCATTCAAGTAATTCCCAAGCCCTGTCAATCCTCCCTCATATATATTTACCCCAAATCACACCTCCATCCTTTTGTCACCTGGACAGCAAGAAACTGATCTCCCTGCTTTCAGCCTTGCCTCCACTGGTGTCTAATTTCCAAACTCCTCTCAAGCTAAAGTCCAAATTCCCCTAGTCATGCATTCAAGGCTTTTCATGATCTGGTCCCCCTGCTCAACTGTCCAGGTTTGTTTCTCAGTAGCTCCCTCTCCACTGTACCCCAACATTGTACTTGAACTATAACAAAGTTATCAGCTGCTTTTCCCACCAGTTTTCCTCTACTCATCTATCTACTCTCCCTCGTACCAGCACAAATCCTTATCTTGTTCAACTGGATAATTTCTCTAGATCTCAGCTTAAACACAGTTTCCCCTGGGACACCACCTTGACCTACTAAGACCAGATTGGGTGGCTCTCTCCACATTTCCATTATCATACAGTATCATTTATTAAAAGTTCCATGTACTCAGCATAGTATCTGGCACACAGCAAACCTTCAATGGATGGATGGATAGAGGATTGGGTGGACAGTTGGTGGAAGGAAGGAAGGAAGGAAGGAAGGAAGGAAATGAATGACAGGGTATTCAGATGAGGGTATAATTAGCATTCCACAGAAATGACCCAAGAGAGCTGATTCCCTGCTCAACTCTAAGAAGGACCCAAAAGGAAGTCTGACCAGCTTTCTAGGAAGCACTGCCATTGATACCCTCCCTTTGACTTCCTTAGGCTGAATGGTATATCATCCAAGAACAGGCCTGGAACAGCTGTCTGACTCTGACAATTTACTTAAAGACCCAAGTGGCTGAGGTGGACAGGAGTGAGGACAGAACAGAAACTGCTCTGTCACTCCTCATCTTATGGGGTCAGCCCTATGGTCATCACCTCATGTTGCACTTCTTGTGTTCCCCATTCATGTCCTTCCCGCAGTTTCCAAAGGTGTCCCCTGCCACATTCACCTTCTCAAAGCAGAGATCGGGAGCGGGCCGGGCTCCTGGGTGGGCAAGAAACATTTATCAGCACACTAGCCAACTTTAGGAGAAGTCAGAAGCCCCTTAAAGTACAAAGCTAGCCCTTGGTAAAATCATGAAGTTAAGAACATTTTTTGGGTGGGGAGGGAATGTTGAGCTTTTTCTTCCTGTATCCCCATCAGATTATTCCACCCCCAACTTCTCATCAAGACCTACTCATAGAAAAGGATGTTATATCAATTCTTTATACCTTACTGAGATTGTATACCTGTGGGCGGTTTGTGTGCTAAACCTACTGTCTAATTAAAAAGCCCTGTTCCATTTTAGATTTTAAAATAGGTAATATACGCACAAAATTATAAAGAAATAAAGCATGTCTTGATATTTCTAACTAGCCATTCCAGCTCCTACTTCCCCACAACCTGGAGAAGCCATCACAATTAACAATGTATCTTCTATCTTGTATCTATCTTGTGTATCTTCCAGAGATATCTATCTAATTAAAAACGGCAGCAGTGTTTTTTTCACTTAATCTATTGTACGAAATGGGTTTATTCCATACATACAGAGTTGCCTCTTTCTTTCATTCAGCTGCACAGGGTTCCACTACAGGGATGTACCAGACTTAATTGGTCCCTACTGGAGGATACATAGGTTGCTATTGCTATTACTAACAATGTTGCAGTGAATATCCTTATAAACCTATCTTCACATACATGTGCAAATAGAAGTGTAGGGTATACTCTTAAGTAGCAGAATAGATTGGTCCAGTTGTATGGTACCTATAATTATTATTAAATTAATTTGATTAATTAAATAATTATGTTAATTTTTCAGTCTTTGTCAATCTGATATATGAAAAATCTCATTTCATAGTAGTTATAATCTGCTTAATATGAGTGAGGTTAAATATCTTTTCATAGCTAAGGGTCATTTGCATTTCCTTTTCTGTCTCCATGATCTGTGCATTCTTCTGTTGGGTTATTCTTACGCATTTACCCATGAGAATTTAAAGCATCAAGGAACTAGGAAGAACACTGTCCACTGTCTCTCTCTGAAAGCCTACCCTGAGTCAAGGGAAATAAAAAGGGAATATCTAGAGATGCGATTTTGAAACCAAGGATCTAAGCTATGCTGAGGGCATGAAGGGGGAGGCTGGCTTGGGAGTGGTGAGGCAGGAGGAGGGACATTCTCTGTAGAAGAGTCCTTACCAGGCCCCCACAACTGCTGGCACTGCTCCTGGTAGGTGAGGCACATGCCATTGTAGCAGTAGGCCTGGCCGCCCTCGCAGGGAGTGCCGTCCATCTGGTAGAAGTTGGTGGGGCATTGGGGAGACTTGCCCGTGCAGAATTCTGGGAGATCACACTGCCGTGCCTGTTCACGGCACAGGGTTCCAGGGGCCAGCAGCTGGATCGAGGAAAGAGAGGGGAAAAACAGTCAATTTCCCACAGGACCTCAACCCTATAGCAAAGGATTCGTGAGCATCACTTTTGTGGAACACAATTCCCCATTTCCATTATTCCAGAGACCGTTATTTTGCATGACCTTGTTAGCTCAAATCATCATCATCAAACTTACAATATGAATAACGACTCAGAGTTTTCATGGTGTTTTCACAAATGCTAGCTCATTTTCTCTTCTAAGTTTTAAGAAGTAGATAAGAAAAAAAAAAGAAGTAGATAAGAATCATATATATGCGACAATTTACAGTTTACTAAGTAAACTGCTTTGCTAATAACAGCTACTTTTAAGGAGCTCCCATGTAAGTGCCCAGTACAAATATTCCCTCATTTACTTTTCATGAGAGTCCTAGGTAATATGATATAATTATCCCTATTTTACAGATGATGAAACCTGAGGCAGACGAGGTTAAGCAATGTATCAAAAGTCTCATGGGTAGTAAGTGGCTGAAGAGCCAGGCCCACTAATATATACACACAAATGTGTGTCCACACATGCACATACACGCGCTAAGCTAGTATTCACAACATCTCTGAATTTACAAAGCACTTTAGCAATAATATATCCCCATTATGGAGCCAAGCACTGGGCTAAGTTATACATACTTACCTATGTGATCCTCACAATATCCATGAGGCAGAAGCTGCTATTTGCCTCTTTCTGAAGATAAAATAGCCCGATCAATAGCACACCTTGGACAAATGGTAAAGACTAAGTTTCCAGCTTCCCTTTGAATTTTTCAGCTTCCCTTCCACTGGGTGGTCAGATAATGTGCCTAGACTCAGATGGTTAGTAGGCTGCCACCAAATTGCATTACCAGAGCTTGGACTGAAGGTCTCAGACTCTAAGCCTCATCTTTCTGCACACGCTTCTCTCCAGAGAATCCTTTCTGAGACTCAAACTGAATGGGCACTGTCCATACATACTTATTCTTCAGGCCAACGTCCAAGACTCAAAGGGCCCCGCCCAGCACAACCTCCATGGGGAGACACCAGGTCTACTCTAGAGTCAAACCTAATGGTGAGTTTCCCCAGGCCTGCAAAGAAAGGTTCATCTGAGAATAGTGCCCTCCTACTTCCAGATGACCCCACGCAGGGGAGAGAGAAGGCAGAGAATGGGCCCAGCTGAGCAGCTTGGCAAAAGCATGGAGCCTCAGCTGCAAGGGTGGGCACTGGCCGTGTGTGGAGGAGGAAGACGCAGGACAAATCTCTACCACCAAGGAGCAGGATGGAGATGGAGAGGACCCACCTGGAGCCAGCCTGCCTAGATTCAAATCCCAGCTCCTTAATCAGCAGTGGGACCTGGGGCAGCTACTTAACCTCTCTGGGCTAGGACAGAGTAAATGGGGATAATAACTTTCTCATGGGATTGTTAGAATGAATGCATTCAAATAGAGCACTTGAACAGCATCTAGCACATAATGAGCACTTAGCAAGTGGTAAGTGGAAACATTAAGTCCACAATTCCTAGCCAAAACTTTGGGGCCAGATGGGCTCAGACTCCTCAGATTTCAGAAAGCAGACATAACACATATGTACATACACAGGTATGTATATGTATATACATGCTTTCATTACATATGTATATTATATAACCCCCAGCAGGGCCTGGGGTTATACTTTATAACCAAACACATTAATATTTCTGCGACATTATAAATATTCACTTTAAGTGTGTCTTTTTTCTTAAGTTTATTTATTTTGAGAGAGGCAGAGAGAGAGAGGGAGATAGACAATCCCAAGCAGGCTCCACACTGCCAGTGCAGAGCTTGAGCCAGGGCTCGATCTCACCAACTGAGAGATCATGACCTGAGCTGAAATCAAGGGTCAGACACTTAACCAACCGAATCACCCAGGCACCCCTGGACACTTATTTTTTGAAGAAAAATCTCCCATCTTCCAGGTGGTACAGCCCTCTGAGCTGATTTGAACCCAGTGAGGCATGGCACAGGAAATGGTAAACTTGGACCAAGTGGCATCCCAGCTCCATGTTTCTGAAACTTTGATGCCATCACTTCCCCACCATGGAAGCTGAATTCTGGCCACCAGCTCCCAGCAGAGCACTGGGCTGTCCGGTCAGAATCCCGGGCAGGGGGCAGTGGGGAGGGCCTCCTACCTTACACTGGTGACAGCAGGCACCGTGGGCACACTCCGCGCCTTCTCTCAGGGTGCAATTAGAGGCATTGCAGCAAGGGTTGTTACATTCCTAAGGAGGCAAGGGGGAGTGGCCATGAGCCTCGGGGGCAGCAGGGCAGGGAGACAGGTGTCAGGGTGCGGTGAGGCCTCTCACCCACCTCCCACATTTCCTCACCCCTCCCCCATATGCCCCTGGGGCCCAAGCTCCCCAGAAAGTCTTTACCAATAATTTCACTTTATAAGTTTATCATGAAGGCAACGTATACTGATCACAGAAAATACGCAAATGCATAATCATCAATAACATCACAACTCAGACACAACTACATTTTGAGTGTGAATATTTACCCAGGCCTTTCCCCTTTCACATATATAGATATGTACTTTTATTTTGCAAAATCCTAGTATCCATACTGCTTTTTTTTTTCTTCTTTTTCCATACTGCTTTTTAATGTAATACAATATGTACATTTCTTCCTGAAATCCTATAATCTTCAAAAACATGATTTGTAGCATAAACTTATACTACATAGGAATACTGAGATTTTTCTCATCCCCAATAGAACAGTCAGAGACCCTGTCTTCTATTGCTGCCCTCTGTGTCCCCACACATTCCCAGGGGCTTTAATCTCATTTAAAAAATGGCCATCAAAAGCAAGGGCATGCGGGAACAACTTCCGAACACAGTTTATGTCAGTCCTAGGGCCTGCTTCCTCAGACTTCTCTCACTATCTGCGCCTCTTCCTCAACCCGCACTGGCCCAGACCTTTCTGGGAAAGAAGGTCTCCAGGGGCTCCATGTTCTCCTCTCTTCCTTCTTGCCTTATGGGTCCTGATTTGCTGATGTATAACATGAGACTTAAAAAGATGATGAGACACCCCAATGACTCTAAGTGTCCTTATCCCACTCCTACTATGTCCACAGGCCTATTCTAAACCATTTCTTGACAATGTGCCAGGCTCCATATGCACAGGCCCATCACAGCCTTGTGAGGCAGGATTGCTCCCAATTCATAGACGGGGAAATGCAGCTCAGACAGGTCCTATGGCTGATCAGGGCACACACCCGGCAAGTGCTGAAGCTGAATTCAAGCCATGTCTGCCTGGGGCTTGTCCCATGTTTATGAACCATATCATAACCATAATGGTCCAGGTGTAGCATGTCGGGGACATGCATCCCATGCCTGACTATGATGCTCATCTGCTTGTTTCCCTAGGAGAAGGAATAAGGACACTTTCCTTCCATTAATCTCCTCCCATCCTGGGCCCCAGGCAGACTGTGCTTCTCCCGCTTCAGGGCATGCTTCCTCCTCTAGCTGAAATGTGCCTTCTCTCCTTGTGCTCCTTAATAACTCCTAACTGGGCCTTCAGATATGGAGTCAGAAGTCACACTCCTACCTGAGTAGGGCAGCTCCTCTCATACTGCAAGTGCTCACAGCGCAATGGCAGTGGCCCTCCTAAGCCTTTAGCACGGATTGTACTCATACACTTTCGCAATTATTTGGTCAGTGTGTGTTTCCTCCAATAGACGATGTGTTCCACAAGGACAGGAACCACATCTATTTTTGCTATCCATCCTATCCCTAGCACCCAACATAGGATCCCACACTCAGTAAATATTTGCTGAATAAGCAGCTGCTCTGAACATAAGCCAAGTGGCTGAGCACACTCATGGACTGTTCCTCAACCCCACTAGACCCTCCATGATGATGGAGAGGGGCAACTCCCTCCTTTCTGATGGGTCTGAACTGATCTCTTTGAACTATGGTGGTGAGAGTGGCAGAGCCTTTAACTAATTCTTGATTTATTATGAAAGTTACGTGCTGACGTTAAGAACAAAAATCAAACCACAGAGAAGGCTATAAAATCAAATAGTCTTACACACACCCTCAGTCTCCCCTCCACACTTTACTGTTTTGCATATGTTAACGTACATATTTCATCCTTCAGAAAATAGACATGAAACTATCCAGTTCTGCTTTTTTGCAGAACAACACACATCTGCCAAAAATGATAGAGCTATGCTGCATGCCCCCAACTCATCTGGAAGATCGGAAGGAAGGAAAGAGCCCATACACAAACAGTTCTGTTCCTTCTTCCTCCTAGCAGCCCTTCGCAGACCGAACGGTACTTCCTACATCTCCTTTCAATTACCTCTTCTTCAGGATATGCAGTACATAATGAGCATTTAGCAAGTGCAAGCTTGTTATTTTAAGCAACCTCAAGGCCCAGGTTCAAGTTCATATATCCAGCTATGTGGTCTCCAGAAGAAATTCAGTGCAGCTGGAGGACCAAGGAGGCCATCTGTAACTCTACTGGGGAGATTATGGGTTTTGGTTAGACCACACTCTCACAGGAAGAACTCCACCCTGACTTGGACACCAACAGTGCCAACCTCAAACTGAGAGAGTCTACATAAATGGTCCCTATTGAAAGCTTACTCTCCACATCTTATTTGTGATGGGGTCTTTGATAGCCATGTGTATGTGGGAGATGCCTATGACTGAGAAGTGTTCAGTTGCATTCTCTTTGACTTTAAGATTTAAAACCAATGCACATTCTTCCCTTCCCACTAGCACTACAAAGACACCTTACCTCTTCCTCCCCACAGTCACATTCTTCCCCATCTTCCAGGTACCCATTCCCACACCTCCGGCCTCCATACAGCGTCCTGGTGTCTGGCATATTGGAGAGACACATCCCACCGCCTGACTGTAGATACCTGTCCAGCTCCTTCCTGTTGCATCTATTGAACACTCTTGGAAAGGGGTGCCTGGCAGAGAATAAGGGTGGAGTTAGTTGGGAATCTGGGCATCAAGCAGCCAGAACAGTGTTAATCCTGCTGCCCATAAGGCTGATTCCACCTAGACTCAGACCCCTATAGTCCCCTACATGCATTCTGTTCCCTCAGAACATCACTGATACGTTATCTTACAATTTTTTCTAAGCATTAAGAAATATTAACCACCCCATAATGTTCTTTTTGTTCCCCCTCACTGTGCATGCAGGAGGTATTTGAGAATCAGAAGCAGCGATTTCTGCCCTTTGTAGGAAGGGGTTGAAATAAATAAAGGGTTATGAATATGTCACAATAGGTCTGAGCCTTAGAGCTGAATAAAATACTAGCCAACTCAAATTTTTCCTCAAGCTGATATTAAACGGAGATTTTCTTGGGACAGAAGACCAAACCAAAAAAGGCCAAGATCATGGGTTAGATTTCTTCATTAGGTCAGTGATCTGATGACCTCTATTCTAAGGATGCAGGGCAACACTCCAAACTCAACCAGCCAGTTCACAAATGGATAGTTTTTATCACAAGATCATGAAAGGTTCTGAGTCCTGCTATTGGAAAAAAAGAATCAGAAGTCATATATTCTCTAGTGGCAGGTCAGTACCGCAATGTGAGTCTAAAGGAAGAGTTATCTAATTCTCCAAACCAATTAAAAGTTAAACAGTGGAGGGTCCCCTTCAGTTGTCAGCTGTGTCACAAGGAATTTGTTGCCAACAGTTTTTAAACTACTTTAGTAGTTTTTAAACTACTTTAGTAGTATATTTGCATATAGTTTGAAAATGAATTAGAGTCATAATTAATATAACTCTCAACCATATGACTACAAATATGCTTTTTAGATTGAGAAAGGGATAAACTTAACCATGAGCTCTTAGGGTTTTGAGAATGACCCATGGAGTTGTATCCTGCATGTCAACATCATCCTTTGTATGTCACAGCTAAGAAGTGACGGACAAACACTGGCAATGAAACTCCAAGAAAACTGCATTTCCTCTTGGAGACACTGGAACACCGTTCTCTAAGAAGCACAAGCAGACTCTAATGGTTTGGGGTACAGGGAACACAAACTCCCAACATGATGCCTTCCAAAGAGTGACTCAGGTCTTAGAAGAACCCAGTGCTCTCCACTGTATGAGCCCAGATACTAAATATTAAGAGTTGTGACTAAGAGTTGTGGCTGCTACCAGAATTCTCTCTCAAAGGCTCGGGTTAAAAAAATCTTTCACTGTAAAATACAGGGAGACAGAGCTGGCTTGTTCTTCTTCCTCATGGTACATGCAGTCTGTAAATTCCCTGAGGAGTCATTATGTGGGCATGGATGCTCCCCTTCCTTTCTCTTGTTGTGGAGGCTACCTCAGAACTTTCAGTCACCACTGCCCAAATTCCCTTGGGACAGAGGGACTTAAGTTTTGGGGCTGTTCAAAATGGGTCCTCTTCAAAAATTCATGAAGTGAAAAAGACACATGTGGTCAAGCCAATTTTACAGCTAAAGACCCTAAGACAGAAATGAAGTCTGTCTAGGGTTTCACCGGCACCAAATCACCTGCTATAGACCTAGTGCTCCTTGCACACATTTACTTTCCTGGTTCTCTTCCAAGTTCTTTGTTGTCAACCGCACTTCTCTCCAAGGCCCCCACAAGAGGTATAACAGAGGCTCTTAGGGCCAACTGGGAGGAACACTTGGGTTGTACCATCCTCACACGCTCTCGCTCTCCTCACCTTGCTGCTTGACTCACCCAGTGGCAGCTGCCATGATGCACCCGCCATCAGCTGCGCTGGCCGAGCAGCAATCCGCAGAATCATGGCTCATGCCGAAGTTGTGGCCCATCTCGTGGGCCATGGTGGCAGCCACGCCAATGGCATTCTCAGAGTGGTCCTGCCCAAGGGGAGAGTTCAGGTCAAGAAGACAGCTCTCCTTACTCCCTATTCCTGTCTTTTCTTAGCCGGGCCTCAAAGCTCTCCACTGATGCCACGATCAGCACATACAAGCTTGGTTATGAGAGCCTGTGCTTTTAACTGTCATGCTACATCTGTGTATAAATACGGGATGGATAAAGGGGTGGACAAACAGATGGGTGGACAAACTCCCCACAGGTTAGAAATGAATATTCAAAACAGTCCCACAAAGCCAGAGGGAATTTCAAAAGAAGGCAGTAATTTCCTAACCAGGACTTTGAGACAAGCTCTTGTTTCATAATGATATGCATAAAAACACAAGACCTAGGATAAATAGTATTTATCTCTATTATCTTACTATTCTCCAGCCCCTGGTTTGGAACACATGAGGCATCTAGTGACATCACTAGATGTAACATAATCACTTACAGGGTTTTCTTGAGTTTGAAAATTGGGGATAAAGTATAATAAATGAAAATTCAGGGGCACAAGGGTGGCTCAGTTGGTTAAACATCTGACCCTTGATTTCACCTGAGGTTATGATCTCAGGGTTGTGAGATCAAGCCTCATGCAGGCTCTGCTGACAGTGTGGAGCCTGCTTGGGGTTCTCTCTCTCCCTCTGTTCCTTCCACCACTCACACCCCACTCTCACTCTAATAAAAAATTGACTAAAAAAAATAAGTAAATGAAAATTCATCCTTGGGTACCTCCATCTCTTAGAACTTAATGACTTCACTTTAAACAATTGCCTTACTAGGGGCACCCAGGTGGCTCAGTCAGTTAAGCATCCGACTTTGGCTCAGGTCATGATCTCACAGTTCATGAGTTTGAGTCCCGTGTCAGGCTCTATGCTGACAGCTCAGAGCCTGGAGCCTGTTTCGGATTCTGTTGTGTCTCTCTCTCCCCCTCCCCTGCTCATAGTTTGTCTCTCTCTTTCTCTCAAAAATAAAGAAAACATTTAAAAAAATTTTTTAAGTAACTGCTCTACTTGATCAACTGTTTTTCCTGAAATAATAAACATAAATTTTTTTTCACAAGATGACCTCCTATCCTATGAGGCAGTTTTCTGCCTTCTGCAGCATCAATATATTGGCTGATCAACTCACCATGTTGACTCCTCCAGACTGGTACACGGAGCACATGGCCATGAGGGGGGCCAGCCCAATGGTGGTGCCGTGGAAGGACATACCCCTGGATGAGGGAACAAGAGAAGGCCATTCAGATGGGAGTTGAGAGGGCTGTTCCACTGTGCCCAGGAGCAGGTGGCCATCACGGTTGTTCCTTGGCCCTGCTGACATCTCCAGATCACTCCCAAGGAGAGAGATCCTGGTATTCTAAGCCAACTGGACAACTTCCAGGTCACCACACCTCTCACTTCCTCTCACCTATTCTCTTACTGCTCCAGAGAAGTGGAAAGAGCAAAAGGTCCCCTTTTCCCACAAATATGCCCAGAGCCCCATTCCCTGGAAGGAAATGGGCAGGTCTTGTAAAGCTGCATCCCATTCCTGCTGCAGAGGAAAAGGTCAGAGGGAGGGGTTGAGGGAAGAGTGGCACAGGTTCTGATGCTGAAGTGACTCATGACCACTTCCGCCAGCTGCCAGGTCCTGTGCCATATCCCCGGCTCTGTGGTATGCATATGGGGGTAGGGTGGGGGGATTGGGCAGCAGCTGTGGGGGCTGATGCTTCATTTCCACATCACTTCGAGCCAAGGAAACAGATGTGTCCCATCAGGAGCCTCACAAAGTGCAGCTGGGTGCAAAGATGAGCTGTTTCTGCCTTTGTTTTGCAATTTGTGATCCTAATCTTCCAACAGCCAGCTACATTCCCCCAGTTCAATACATCCCTCTCTCGGCTGTATCCATCCAGGGCAGGGGAGAAGGGATGAATAAAACACTGGTATTCTCATGCATGCTATAAATATGTAATTTATTTAAAGGTCTACAGAGAAATTCATTATGTGGTACTTTCATATTGTCATGTTTGTCTTCTCATCTAGACCATGATATCTTTGAGAGCCAAGATGGCCTTAATTATTTTGGGGTCACCAGAACTTAGCATAGAATCTGACACATAGGGTGTACTTAATAAATGTCTGCTGTATTGAAGCCAAATTCTTCTTCAGAGAAACAATCTGCAAAAGAATACATAAAATAGGGGTGCCTGGGTGTCTCAGTTGGTTGAGCATCCCACTCTTGGTCTTGGCTCAGGTCATGATCCCATGGTTTGTGGGATCGAGCCCCAACTTGGGCTTTGAGCTGCCAGCATGAAGCCTGCTTGGGATTCTCTCTCTCCTTCTCTCTACCCCTCCTGCCACTCTCTCTCTCAAAATAAATACACATTAAGCAAAATTAAAGAGGGGTGCCTCGGTGGCTCAGTCAGTTGAGCATCCCATTTCAGCTCAGGTCATGACCTCACTGTTTGTGAGTTCAAGCCCCACATTGGGCTCTCTGCTGTCAGAGCAAAGCCTGCTTTGAATCCTCTGTCTCCCTCTCTCTCTCCTTTCTGTCTCTCTCTTACAATAAATAAATAAACTTAAAAAAATTAAAAATTAAAAAGATTATAAGAAAAGAATACATAAAATACATGCAAATTGATATGAAGCCCCACAGGTTATTTTATAAACTTAGACATAGCTCTAAGGAAGTCCTACTGGATTCAAGATCTTTCCCAAAGCAGGACATCAGGCTTCCAAAATTCAGGCAAAACCCAAAAACTTCCTAGGTGAATGTATCATTGTGAATAACCAGAGTCCAGATTTTTGGTAGTTATTTCTCCATTTCTTTTAAAGAGTGAACAAATGTTTAAATGATTGTTGATTCAGAGAGATTTTTTAGGGAACAAAAGGAAAATAGTTTTATTATGTATGTGCCTTTTGTTATAATGGTGTCAGAATACCTTTGGATGCCAACACTAAAAATACTGGATAATCACCCCCTGGGGGACATCAGGTATCACCACGACCCCTGTACAGGGTCTATTCTTTCGGGGATTGAAGATATTCCGACACAACTCCCCCACCCCACCCCAATGTCTCGCTCCCACCAATCGCACAGCTCCTGCACTGTCTGACACTTGCATGAGTTCAAGCTGTCAGCCCTGGGCCCCTGGGAACAAAGTGTAGGACGACCTAAGGAAGGCTCCCTCCTGCTACTGCTTTGGGAGATTAGTATGCGTACGGAAACAAAGCACCAAGAAGACCACAGGGAGCCCCTTAGAAAGTCTGTTTGAGAGCAGCCAATGAGAGTCAGTCACCTCCCAAATACACACCCAATCGGTTCTGATGTTCAACTGAATATGTGTAAATCTAATTTTTTTCATCTAGATTGTAAACACTTCTTGGGGTTGTTATGCCTCTCAGGGTTTTAATATTTTGCTGGGTGTGCTGGGGGCAGAGCACAGGTCTGAGAAATAAGTAATTATTTGGACCAGAGACGCAAAATGGCCAGTACTCCCAGTACTCAGCACTGGGGGGAGGGGGAGGGCAGACAGCATACACACACACACACACACACACACACACCCCGAAGGCAGGGGTGGGCAGCCGGGGCTGAGGCAACCTATATGGAAAAGGGCTACTCACGTGATTAACTGTGCATTGTCGTGGTTCTTCTGGGTGAGCAGCTTGCGCCTCCAACTGAGAAATGACCAGAGAGTAGAGTAGGGGTTCTCCGAAACTTCACACATATTCCCATGAGTCCATACTTCCAAGCCCACAAGGGCAATCCGGATGTTCAAGGATCGGTAAAACTGAAAGCACACACAGAAAAGCCACAGCCTCCTCCGTCAGCACCACCTGAGATTTATAAGCCCCTTCCTAGCCTAAGCACTCAGATACCAGATTCCTCTTCTGCACATTCCCCTAAGGACAGGGAGGCAACAGGTGTGGCTATTCACATTTTTTCAGGAAGGATCGGTGAGATTCTGAGCACAATGTGCAACATTCTGGTGGCAGAGCTGGGGTGACTTAGCTTAGAGACAGGACAGGACACAGACTTGCTTTCAAACATGTACAGGGCTTTCACGCACAGATAGGATCAGCGCTGTTTCACTCAATCGTACAGTGGGGCTCATCCAGTAGGTAAAACACGTAAGACCCCTTTCATTTTAAAATAGGAAAAAAGCTTTCAAATGAGGTTAGTCATGAGTAAGCTCAGAGCTAAGCTCTACCATTGTCTGTAAATAAGCACCTATGGTCCAGCTGCCTGGGAGTCATCTCCCCCAATTCCTTACATGGTACTTACCTGTTTTATACGTGTCTAGAAAGTTCTCTCATACCAAATTCCTCTTGTATGCTGAGGTATAATTTAAATTCCATCAAATCCACCCATTTGGGGGTATACAGCTCAATATTTTTAGTTTATTTACCAAGAAGTAAAGTGATCACCATAATCCAATTTGAGAGTATTTTCATCATACCAATAAGGCCCCTCATGTCTATTTATAGTAACTTCCCATTTTCACCCTCAGAACCAAACAATCACAAATCTATTTTCTGTCTCTATAGATCTACCTTTTCTAGACATTTCCTATAAAGAGAATTACAGAATATGTGGTCTTTTGTGTCTGCGGCTTCTTTTCGCTTAGCATGTTTTTGAGATTCATCCATCTCATGGCCTGTATCAGTTTATCATTCTTTTAAATTGCTAAATAGTATTTCGCTGTATGGATATGCCAAATTGTATATGGATTATTGTGTGATGTCTCCCACTCCTTTTGGAAGTGAATGGGTGTAAATGATATACAAGTAGAGAGAGAACGCTTATTCTCAAAAGTTTCCTTTCCCATCACTGGAGGTGTTCAGGCTTTGTCAACAATACCACAAACAGGTTGCCAGCATTGGTCCGCAAAGGTCCAGATAACCTTCAGAGTTCTGACCAACCCAGAGAGCCTAAGAGTCTATAAATGACACCTGACTCTCAGGATCCTTCAGATTAGAGCTACACCTTACCTTTGTGACACAGTGTCTTTCATCTCACGTACGTAAACAGGAAGAGGGTTTTCTTTAAAGCTAAGCACTACTGGAAGGCGTATGTTCAAGGGATTCTTTGGCCTACCCTAGAGATCACTTGAGGCAGTAACTTTGAAAAAAAAACAACGCATGTAAACCCGGATCACATGAACAGAAGATACTATCTTAATCCAAAACCCTCGGGGGCTGCAGCAACTAAAAACAATCCTAACACCAATGTTTATCAAGCACATTCTATGTACCAAACACAGAAGCTTAGAAAAAGTCAGTAACTTGCCCAAAGTCTCGGAGGGAGGACGGTGGAGCCAGGATTAAGGCCCAGGTTATCAGATCAGGTCTCAGAGTCACTCAAGACCCTCACTGGTTAAGTGCTGGCATATTAACACATCCAGAGAATCATCTTGCCCCCCGCTGGAAGTTGTGCTGTAAGATGGGCTCCAGATTCAGTGAAATATCAGTAGATTTCAAAGAAAATTTTGATTTTCCAGTTTTGTGCCAGGTCGATCATTACAGAAAACAAAGGGTTTGGATTCCAATTTGAACTTGCTTCATGAGGGAGCTTTTAAGGACTTAAACTTGGCTTTTTCACAGTTAAGGAAAAAACATTTTGGACTGGGTTCATGATTCAGCAAATTAGTGTGATTCATTCCAGTTTTAGTTCAACAACAGTTCAGTTCAAGTAGCTGGGTCAGCAAGCCTCAGAGAAGTGGATTTGCCTTCCCTCACCCCAGTTGGAGTGACTAAAGTCAGCTGCTGAGGAGAAAACCAAGAGTGCTCAACAGAAGGGACCAGCTAGCAAGGCTAGGGGCTTTGAGTAAGGGCTGGGGCTTGGTGTCCCCTCTTTTCCACTTTTCATCTGCACTCCTGGTTCTACCACCCAGACCAGCTGGAGAGTCCACGAAGGGGAGACCCAGCCAGGCCTCCCACCTGCTGAGTCTCCAGAACAATAGATGTCACGTGAGTAATGGCAGGATCTGCCTCCTTGGTATCCCCCCCAGGAAACAAGCTTTTCTTGTTTTCCCAGATGTTGAGTGTTTGGGATGTAGAATCATTTGAATGTTATTGTTGAGTGAATTAAGAGCTAGAAAGAGGACTGAACTGTGTCCCTGGAGTCCTTCCTTCCAGGAAATGCTGATGTTTGACTTTCACCTGTCACTGACCAGTGTTTTCGGAGCCATCTAGGCCAAAACAAAAACACAGACCCCAGACCCTCTCACCTGATGACTTCAGAACACTAGCAAATTTGCTTGAAAATCCATAAAAAAAAATTTAAGCTATCTTCTTTATCTATTAGTGGCCAAAAAAATAATAATAATAATTTCCCCTGTAGACTTGGGATCCATGAATCCCTAACAGGCCCAGAATTAAGCTTCAGAAGTGCTATGAGTGCCCTGAAACCATACAATAAATGTTTTCAGATTCTCGAGAGACCTGTGACCCCAAACATATTAAAATCTACTTTTAAAAACTATTTACTACTAGCCTATCAAGAGGTTTACCTTTTCCACTGCAGTTTGCAGTTTCACATAAAGTATTTCCAAGTCCCCAACCAGCCTGCTCTAGGAAAATTCAAGAATTTGGGTATTTCCTAAGGACATGTTTAAAAGGGCCTGATCAAGGAAAGTTAACCATTCACAAAGACTTTCTAAGAGACAAATAATTTTAGAATCATTTTACAGATAGAGACTATACAGATTGCCCAAAACAACCCACTCAACTTTTAAGGCCCTGTACTTTTCCCATGCTGACCTACCTCAATTCTCCCCTAAGTCAGAAAATTTCTGGGCTTTATACCTGGAAGGAACCTCAGAGAACCTTAAAGCAGTCTTTTTTTTTTTTTTTTTTTTTGAACCTTAAAGCATTCTTAAACTAGGTTACCCAGCAACCATTGCAGGGGTGAGGGGAAGAAGCAAGAGGACATCACTTCAGATCCTCACCCTTGCTTTGGTTTAGAGCAGTCTGTTTTCGTCTGATTTTTATATTAGACATCGTCCTAAGATTTCATTTAAAAGAAGGATTCCACCAGAAAAACAAAAATAATTGCAGGCCATTGGTTTAAGCCATGCCCTCTACTTTGTAAATTAAAAACATAACAAAACAAAACTGCAAACCAAAGAAGGTAAGTTACCTGGCTAAGGTCACATAGTTGAGGGCTTTGTCATGACCACCCTGAGCCTCTATACCATTGCTATTGCCTCTCAGAAACTGGCTGGGTGACCAATCCACGAGGCAAGCTCAGGGGCCGTGTGATCTCCTACCCTGCAGCACCTTTAAGGTGCTGGCACCTTTCCCACAAAGTACACACCTGGTCTCACCTTATCAACGTAATTGGCGATCTCCATGAGCTTGTGTTTGGTGGCATCCTGGTCTCGGCGATTCTTCTGAAACTAAATGGAATAAGCAGAGCTAGGTGAGACCCCAGGACCCCTTCCTGTGCCCCATTTCTTGTCTTTCAATTAGCTTTTATTTTCTCCAGTCTTCTATGAGCAGTTATTTTTATATGACTTCCTCCTCCCTGCCCCTACATACAGTTTCAGCTCAGGGATGGTAGAACCTGGGTCACATTCATCTTGGTATCCCCAACTATCAGTTCAGTGCCAGGCACACAGTAAGCATGTAATAGTTGTGTAGTGAACTGAATTATCTTCCTCCAGCCCTTGAAATCAAATCTGTTCTTCTGTCCTCCAAATTACCAGGTCTCCTGCAAACTCTCACTGGGGCTTAGAAGTGGGACCAATCTGATCCTTGTTTTGGTCATCACCCCAACATGAAGCCATCATCAGAGGGATCTCATGAGGACTCCCTACATGTGATCAATCAACACTGATCAAATAGCTGCTGAATGTCTTTGATGACAAGGCATTGTGTTTGGGACGAGGTAGGACACAGTGTGTGAGACCCTGGTACTGGTCTAGAGGACCTTAAATTAAAACAGAAAGAGAGCCAGAAATAACAACAATGGCAGATTCTGTATTTAAGGAGTACACAATTAAAATGGGCACATATATACTGCATGAGGCCACATGAACGACACACATGGGTGCTGGCAACCAGGACTATAAGCCCTTGGAAAACAGGCTTCATCTGTCATGCCACTCAGACTGATGGCAGTGCCTTTCTACAAAAATTCTGAGACTGCATGGGGTTCAGTAGGAAAGAGTGCTGTGCTCGATTATAAATGTCTGCCATGGGTACCAGGAGGGAGACATTTCAGTGTATAGCCTCACATTTCTCATTCCTGCCTGAATGGGATTGATCTCTTTCAGCTGCAATGATGAAGGAAAGCTTCACAATGTAAAGATAAAATTTGCTACAATTGCAACCTAAATTTGCAAATTATGGGTATGTCCTGTACACTGCTATTGTTGTATAAAAACCTATGTGATTTATCTTATATACACACTTATATACGTTACTTCAATTCCAACCCTTCACA